GGCGTCCTGCTGGGTGTCTTCGGCAGAATGTTTCAGTGAGGTAGCACTATAAAGTCGGCATCAGTTTCGCGCTATCACAAGGAGACAAACACGAACATATCGCAGCCTCCCAAAATACACACACATACACTACACGCATACATCTTGCACCCAGGGGAGGCCGTCCTTAAATGACCTTAGCTGTTAATAGGACGTTAAACAAAATCAAACAAACAAACAAACCGTTGTATGAGTAAACTTCTTGCTAACAAATAGATTATTAGACATACGGACTAAACCTTATTGCTTTTTGATGTGTTCGTTCCTGTTAGGTGGTTTTAAGTGAGCCCATAGCTCTGAAATTGTAGTATTAGTATTCTGAAAACGGTTGATGATTGGTGTATTTTTAATACTGGCCGCCATGAAGCCTTACACTACTGATCGCGGGTGGGTTCATGAATGCAGTAATTCTCGATAATTGATAATAAATATGTAATATTGTGTTTACATAATTATAATCTGGTATATTATTGTGTACACAGCAAGATTATAATCGCATTGATGATCCAAAAAGTGTATTTTATGGCCCTTGATAGTGACCGAAATTCATCATAATGCAGTAGCGTGTGATTTTACTCCCCTCATCGTCTTGCATTTACCCTCCGTTATTTGAGTAAACCTTGCTAACAAATAGAATATAAGACACACGGACTAAACATAATTGTTTTTTGATATGTGTTCGTTCCTGTTAGGTGGTTTTAAGTGAAAAAATAGCTCTGAAATTGTAGTATTAGTATTCTGAAAACGGTTGATGATCGGTGTGTTTTTAATACTGGCCGCCATGAAGCCTTACACTACTGATCGCGGGTGGGTTCATGAATGCAGTAATTCTCGAAAATTGATAATATGTAGTAACGTGTTTACATAATTACAATCGGGTATAATATCATGTACATAACAAGATTATAATCGCATTGATGATCCAGAAAGTGTATTTTTGTAGCTTTTAAAATTGACCAAAAATTCATTGTGATGTTTCCTTATTTCAGCATGCTCAAGAAGAAAAAAGGGGTCCAAACTACTTCAAAGCCTCACAAGTTTAATACACAATTCAACACCAAAATAATTAACTTTTAAATCATATAACCAGTTCATTTTTATCAAAGTTAACATTGAATTATAATATAATTTGTCCATCACCACTCAAGCTTGTTACATACACAATATCTAGATTTTTCATACTTATGTCACCTGTGAGTAATAAACAATAGCTATATTTTCATTTGAAAGGTTTTTATCGGTTGTGTACACACAATAAGTACACTGTTCATGTAATATATGCGTGGAAATTCATGAATACACATCCATTCACATAATGCAGGGCTTTCAGTTGATCCTCGATAAGTATTTTTTGTCAATCCAAAATTTCATCTCTAGAATCGTTGGCTTAATTTGAATGAACATGTCAATTTAATGGTTTTTACCCTCCAAAGCTGAAGGAAAATGTTATTTGAAATGATTCAATTTAGCCCTGTTCATTGTATATACTATATTAAATAAAGCATTTGGACTTTATTATTAGACATTGGACAATAAATTTTGATATTCTGTGAAAACTTTATATGTGCGTGTACATGTATACATGTGTGTTATGATATATTTTCCTAAAGTATATATTATAACATAAATGGAATAATGAATATGTTTAAGTGCATCTCTTTATGTTTTTAACTTACAGTAAAAGTATATGTTGCAGGCTCCTGGTTCTATCTAAGTGTGATTTATATGAAACATGTTCCAACTTTCTCACATAAATAGTAATGATATACATACATTGTGTAACTGAGTAAAAAAACACATCAATTTTGAAAAATGATAACATATAACAGGAAACCTGAATATAATCAATTACATAGGTGAACCTCAGTTTGTAATCTGTATACAAGTCTTAAGCTTTTTAAGCTCAGGGTTTATTCGAACTGGATGAAGCCTCTTTAATAATTGTTTGTTTGTTTGTTTGATTGTTATCTTTCTAACACAGTGGACGCATTTAAATCAGTTCAAGAAAAAATTCTTGAAAAACATAAAACTTTACAAAAGAAGAATTCTCAGGAGTAAAGTCACAAAAAGCTGAAGCACTTCCTCCAAGGAAGGTGATGAAGATTTTCGGAATATATTGATGATTTAAATGACGCTGAAAATTGTTGCTGACAACATAATAGCTTTAACGAGTGGACTTGGTACCGGTAGTACAACAGAACTAGTGGTGCTGTCAACAGGAACACTGGCGGTGGAGCTGGCGGTGGAGCTGTCACTGGAACAGATAGTTTTATTTTGGTTACATGAAAAAAATAAAAAATAAAAGAATGTTGCATTCAAATTTAAATCATACTTGTGCCTAACTATAAGAATACCTCAGACTAGTTACATAGTTATATATAATCTAGTTGTTGTGATGCCAGTATCAATAATTTATTGAGAGCAATTTGGGAAAATATGAATATTTGCTGAATCTCTTAATAAGCCATAATAGACTTTATTTGTCATTTAGTAAATTATGGATGGGAGGGGGACCAGAAAAATGATATGAGGGGGGGGGGGGGGGCTTATTATGTTGGTTTTTTTTTACTAAAAACAAAATAATTGCAAATAAGTTGCACCAAAATATGTATATGATATACATATACATACTTGCTAATAATTGACATTTAATTCAATGAATTCGTTAGAATTTAACCATATCCTATTTTTGTGTAGGAACTCCGAAATGTAATGTGACTTGCTGTGATGTTATCAGATTAAAGTGAAATTATGTCAGAGAAATCAGGAATATATTTCTGTATCATAATATTAATGACGACAAAGGATATATTTTTTTGCCTAGAAATATAAACTTATAAAAGGGTTCTATTTTTAAGAAACATATATTAAATTACCTATTCCAAAATCTGAAAATCTTAAGAATAACATACAAAGGTATGAGGTCAGCTGATGTTCTGTATTTTTCCTATAAATGGTTACAAAATAAAATGATGTAATAGGACAAAGTCACTTCTCCCACAGGGGGAGCACATGTATGTTTATGTGTGCTGTGACTATTTCAGTATAAAACATGTACGTGTGAATTAGACATTTGTAACGAACCCCTGTGCTTCTACCGTGCTGTGCATGCCCTCGAAATCTAGCTACCTATAAATAGCTAATCGGATCTCGATTTTTGTCGCTAGTTTATTGAACCATTTTTTTGTAGAATATATGTCTTTTATCACCTCTTAAATTTTTATTTTTATTTTTATAATCTTGTATCTAAATAACTATTACGAGAAAAAAAGTCAGTCATATTTGACAATGATGTATAATCCGGTCATACACTTACCTGATGCTGATAAACAGATAAACTTGCGACATCATCACGTCTATGAATTCGTTTTCTTAAGTTTTAGCCAAGATGATTACACTGTGTTACTTATCTGTCGAATCAGTGTCACACTATCGGGATCTCGTCACCTAGGTAAACAACGTGGTTATCGATACCGGAAACCGGTCTGTTAGATAGCACGCAAGCGCAGTACAGGTAAATTGGCTCCAGCGAGAGGGTCACAGGTCGTCACGGTTCGGTGCACAAATACAAGAGGTGGACAATACATACGCGAGATCAGAGAGGTGTTGCCTATCCCTGACACCAGTAAATAACAGCAACACTTTTTATCCGGTACCCTCAATTATTTTACGGTTTTAGAATGTTTATAAACACCAGATAAAAAGATTTGCTGTTATTTACTGGTGTGTATAGGTTTATTATTAACTGAAAGGGTTAAGATTTACGCCATATATTAATTAAAAAAATCCCGACACCAAGCCCCTGTGTTTTGAGCCCCCAGTGATCAGACCCGGAACTTAAATTTTCAAAAGCACATATTAGTGGTCACACCTGTTTGGGCGTATTTGGTTGCAATGGCTGCAATCTCCGCATCGTCTGTTAAGTATGTCTTTGTTCTGAGCCAGAAAATCATGGATTGTGTCAGAAAAATATAGAGAATTACGCCTTTAACGAATTCGATAAAACTGAAAGTTAAGCACATCCTGTTTGTATTTTTTCAACGTCAATTTGGCACTTGAAACAGAGTCACTGCGACGCTTCAAAATTTTTAAAGATGCAAGCTTCGTAGATGTTTGACTAGCTATAGAGCAAGATGGGGGAATTTAAGAATTCGATATTGACACGGGAATTTTTTATACGCACTATACTCAAAAATTCTTCAAGATGTTACGAAAAAAAAATCATTTTTTTACGTTTCACATAAGATACGTCACGATTTTTTTTTCATATTAGTTTGCCAAAGGCTTACTACAATACTATTTTTACACTCGTTTCATGAATCCCATATGGAATGAAAAATCATTTTAATGAAAATTTTCAATCTTTATTACGCATTTAGCTCGGTTCTAAATGGAATAGAGTCAGAAAAGAGCCCAGTGTTTATAGCAAATAATTGCATGTCCACTATCAAATATCTTTTATCCAGAAATTATTTAGAATTTTCACATGTAGGTTGGCTCAGGTCAGTGGTTGAGAAAAAATACAAATTCTTAAAAAATTCTGCACCAGTTTTTATCAAAATTCGTATATATGGGGCAAAGAAGTAATTCCAACAGTGTGGACAAGTTTAGGTTGTCAAATTTTCGGAGCGATCCGCTCCTTTTTCAAGACACAGTGAAACAGAACAGTTACATGTACATATACATCATATTACAAGAAGATAGAATTGATATACTATAATTGAAAATATAGCTATTATATAAAACCAATAGTCCCCTCGGCTAAAGACAGCCGAAGGCAGCAATTACGCTGAGAGCATCGCGGACAAGGAACGCTGATGTAGAGGACCTATTCTTGCGCAAGATGCACTGTCATATAAAGTGAGTCAACGAGAGATATCAAAAACGTGGAACATGTGCATTTGGAAATCTGGCCCGGTAAATGTGAAAAATCTCCAATCTGCTACGGAATGTCTCATTAGTCGCCTCTCAATACTGCGATGGATCTAAGTCACAGCAGGGGGTCCCACTTAGTCGCCTCTTTTGGTTTGCAGGAATAATGCATGTGCCTCTATTGGTTTGCAGGAATTATGCATGTAATTATCAAATAAGTGAGTGCAGGAGGAATAAGTAGATAAAATGGCTAAGATACTGTATAAATCTGCAAAATAAATCTGACAACGGCTGTTGGTCACACACACTGACATGAAGCAGCAGGCA